GCAGTAGAAACGTGGGAATACCACCACTTTCAAGTTCCCCTCCAAGCCACTCCCATCCAGACTTGGAAATATATTGCTGTTCCTTCACTGGCACTAGGCCAAAATCCTGGAATTCCCTCCCAATGGCATTGTGGGTCAACCCACAGCTGGTGGACTGCAGCAGTTCAAGAAGGCAGCTCACCCTGACTTTCAAGGTGTGCATATTCCTCAGTAGAAACATAGGGCCTGGAGAGAGTGATTTGTAGTTTGAACTTGCTCAGAGGATTTAGGCTTTAAGAACCACCTTGAATAGATTCAGGATTAATGCAGCTTCTGCTGTTTGAAGTTTATACGTGAAGATCACCAAGTAAGCATGTTCTCATTTCAAGTTTGGTCATAAAAGGAAGCATACTTTGTCAGATCCTCTCACAATTCAAAAGAGGATTCCAAATTAACATCTTTATAGACAGATGCACAGCACTGAAACAGGGCCTCTGACTAACTCTAACCCAAACAGATATCCTAAATTGATCTAGTCCTGTTTGCCAGCATATCCCTATCAACTCTGCCCATTCATGCAATCCTCTAGATGGCTTTTAAATGTTGTAATTTTACCAGCCACCTCCTGCTCTGGCAGCTCTTTGCCCCTCCCCCATTTAAAAATCTTTTCCCTCTCACCTTAAATCTCTGCCCACTAGTTTTGGGCTCCCTTACCCTGGGGAGAAAAAAAAAAAAAAAAAAAAAACAAACAAACCTTGGCCATTCACTTTATATACGCTCATGGTTTAAAAAAAGTGAAAGGTCACCCCTCAGCCTCCAACATGCAAGAAAAATAGCCGCAGCCTATTCAGCTTCTACCTGTAGTTCAAACCCCAGCAACATCTTTGTAAAATCTTTTTTGAACCCTTTCAAGTTTCAGATCTTTCCAACTCCTATACTCAATGCATGACCAATAAAAGGCAAGTGTAATAAACACCTTCTTCACTACCCTGTCTACCTGCAACTCTACCATCAAGGAACTACCCAAGGTCTGTTTGGCAACACTCCCAGGACATCACCATTAATTGTACTAGTCCTGCCCTGATTTGCTTACCAAAAATATAAACCATACATTTATCTAGAATAAAATTCATCTGCCACTCCTTGGCCCAGCTGATCAAGATGCTGTTGTATTGAGGTAACCTTCTTTGCTGTCCACTACACCGCCAAATTTTTATGTCATGTGCAAAGTTTACTAACCATATCTCATTTATTCATATCCAATCATTTATCTAACACGAAAAGCAGTGGACCCAGCACCAATCCTTGCAACACACTGCTGGTCGCAGGTCTCCTGTCCGAAAAACAGCCCTCCACCACATCCTGTCTCCTACATTCAGGCCAATTTTTATCCAAATCACTAGCTCTTGCTGTATTCCACATGATCTAACCTTGCTAACCAGTCTGCCACATGGAACCTTTTCCAAAATGCTTTGCTGTCTGTCTGTATGGACTTCAATGTCAAATGCTCTGACTTCAACCTTCCATCACTTCAAACAAAAAACTAAGTTAGTTAGTGAGACATGATTTCCTACATACATGATCCTTGTTAGAATTAATGTGCTTCTCCTTGACTCACTGAAAAACTATGGGTGATTTCTATTCACCATGTTGAAACAAGAAATAAATCTTGGCTGCCATTACATTGTGCACCCAATAAAGACAAGGTAGGTGTATAAAATGTTTAGTACAGCAGAATCCTGGACCCATGTTTGCAAAGATTTTTCCCCAAAATATTGATTAATACATAATACCATGACATCTAGAAAATTTTATTTAGTTGATTGCTGGCAAAAACAACAAGAATACAGTCAAAAAATTTGGACCATGTGAATGATTTAGCTCAAACATTTGAACAAATGAGGGGAGAAACAGAAAAAAAATAAATTAAAAACTTTTGTTCAGTAGTTAGGCAGAAATTAAAAAAAAACAAAAGTTGAGGGGAAACAATCTAAAAACTGAATTAGACTGTAACAAGACAGCAGCAAAACTCAGATAAAGATTGAAAAACATGGCAAAGTCACGTCAAGGGAGACACTAGATTGTACGGCGAGAGGTAACAAGGCATTTGCACACATACAACAAAAAAGAGACAGAAAACAAGCGACTGAACCCACTTGACACTAAATGAGAGCACACCACTACTGAGATGTGTGGGCTTTGGAAGCTGCCCTGGGTCAGTGATTTTTACAAATTCCTAGCCACTTTCCCACCCATTTCCAGAATTGGGCATTGAAAACCTTCAAGAGTACAGATTCTTCAGGTCACACAAGACAGCAGTGGCAAACTGAAGGAGGGTGAGGGCCAAAAAAAACCCAAAAAAAACGCAAGAGCACCAGACAAACATGTGTAGAACATTAACTACTCTGTCCAAAATGGTATTGGATCAGGCTAATCATAAAAAAACCTCACTGATTGCAGGAGCTCCTGCATTTACTTGGCCAGTAGAGTGGGTGCCTGACCTTCAGTGTAACAGGCTCCACTTTTGCAACACTTTTAAAAATCATTTCTTTTTATAAATAAATATATGCTCTGTGTAAATCTATGTAGAAAGACAAGTCCATTCTGATAGGCTGTCAGAAAGCAGCTTCTGTAAACATATACATTTTATAAACAAGTCAGAAGGAAAAAGGTTGCTGTGCACATAGGACTGGGTACATATTTAAACTCAGCACAACACCTTGAAATATACAAGGCTGCACAAATCAGACTAGAGGCTGAGATACTGGGTAAATAAATTAAAAACATACATTAACTTTGCAGTTAAAAACTATTCCTTCTGAAAAACAAACAAAAAACAAAGTCTGTACAATATATATACACATACACACATTCACTTAGTCACAAAAAAAAAAACCAAAAAAATCAAAGCAAGCTTGGTTCATGGTCTGGCACCAACTTTTTGAAAGAAAAAAAGTCTGTCAGGCTCAGTAGCAAGGGATAGACATGTCCCCATAAAGTACAGGGGATGATGGCAAGTATCCACATTATTTGACACAGCCTTTAATTAGGTCCAGTGTATTCCAATTGGATGCATAATTATATACAATTCTAGCATTGGTGAATCAAGCAAACACCAGACTTAATATTAAAAAAAAAAAGTTTGTCAAAAAGAGGTTGTAGAGTGTGGGGAGGAAAATGCCACCTTAAAATTGGCTTTTGTCCCTGCACAACTGTACATGGAGAATGCATGCAATTTACAAAACAGCTTAGGCAAAACTCAGATTAACATTATATACACAGATACATATTATCCTTCTCTTCAGTCATTCAGCAACTGAAAACTGCACCAGTTTCTTCTGAAATGTCAGAAGTAATCAGACATGTTCAGTCAGGGAATTTTTATAAAAAAGTCCCAAAAGAATGTTTTTGCCCTTGACAAAAACTAAAGCTCAGTCATTTCCAGAGTGTCTCTGAAAATCCTTCAAATTAAAAAAACATCCACAGTAACAGCACAAGTGCAAAAAAATTTAAGTAACCTAACCAAAAACACCCTGTACATGGAGTGGCTATGCTGAAATATTTAGAAGAGGGAGTGGAAGTGGAAGGAGTTTAAAAAACAACAAAACAACACAACACACTTGATAGTACTGTAGGCTATCTGCAAACAGCAGAGTTAAAGTCTAGATCCATAAGCAGTAATCACTCCAGAGGCACTTTGTCAGGCTCCTTGTATCAAGCACCATAATCTTCTAAACTCACGACAGCTCTCTGCAAAGGCAAAAACAAACTTGTTAGGTAGAAACCGAATAGTGAGTGTTAGTGGAGAATGGTTTAAACCAAAAAGGAAAAAAAGTCAGACTCAAACTGTTTGAACTTTTAATCAAAATAGTACAGAATTGAAACAAAAAAAAAAAACAAACAAAACAAAAACACACTGTCATCTGTATTTGTTTAAATACAAAGTCCACTTGTGGTCAACCTGTGCACTGTAGACCTGCCAGTGTTCGGCAGTACCAAGATAGTATGTGTAATACTTCTAACTGTTTTGTTTTGCTCAAATAAGAAAATACAGCCTGTATACATGGAGGGATGAATTTTTACAAAAGGTTAAAAGCCACATTCTGTGCATCATAGTGCAACGCTAGATTTTTGTGCACGGATTTCCAAAAATTTGCCAAATCCAATCTTAGCAAAAATTTTTGCTTTTGTTTTTGGACTAAACAAGCTGATCAGAAGCCAGGTTGCTATTCATGCAACACCAGGGTGAACAATTGCCAGGGCTGAGAGAGAGATGGCCAAAAGTACGTTTTCATGCATTACTACAGGACTGGCTGAAGCAATAGCTTTTTCAAAAAGTGCCTCCTTACCGTAGGATAAGTGTACCCAACTTGGTTCCGGGTGATATGAACTTCATCATCTTCAGTGGTTTTCTGGTAGACGGGGTTATCGAAGTTAATACTGTTGGTGTTCTTCAATTTCCAGTTTTTCCAAATGAAATAAACTGCAGTAGCAAGCAGTGACAGGATGGCTGGAAAGAAAGGAGAGAGTTTAACCATCACATGCACAGATTTCAGCACAGAGCAAGAAGAGGATGTTGGACAGGGTAGGATAATACTTTTCTTATAAAAAAAAACACACAACAGACTGACACCAAAATGTCCACTCCCATAAATCACCACCATCTCCTTCCCAAAATCAAAATCACTACATTCTATGTAAAAAGTGCACCCATCTGGACAAAAGTTGGTAGTCAAAAGGTGACCTTGGGTAATACATATGCTAACAGCAAGAGCTTGACAAAAATAACACAGGCTTTCAGTAGCCCCTCCTTTAGGAGTAGTTTCACTGGGATTTACACAAGCCAGAACTACAATTCCTTCATGTGCTCATTTTAAGAAACCCTACTTACCAAGAGGCAAAACAATCCACAAGGCATTAGCTCCTCTGTGGCCTTCTGTAGCTGCTTTAACTGCAATCTCAACCCCTGCTGAGAAAAATTAGAACAGTAAGCTGCCTGAAAAGTCCTCCACTGGGAGTATGGGCAATTTGTGCAAACAAACATTTAAAAAAAAATTCACAAGTACAGAAGGTTTGTACCTTGATGTGAAACAGTGAGCAGCTCATGAACAGTAGGGAATGCTGAGTGTACAGTGTTGTCTGAGTCAATGTTGGAAGTCTGGGAGATCATTTTCCTAGTTGTAGTGGGGCTGCTGGTTGTAGCTGTCTTAGCATGGTTAGGATCATTTAAAGTTTTGTCTGTGCTTGACTTGGTAGGCATGACAGTAGCTAAAAGGGGTGAAAAAATAAAGTTGGTCAGTGCATGCATCAAAAAAGTTGATCTTAACACACCCAGTGTAATGTGATTTCTTTTTAAAAGAAACAAAAAAAAAACCAAGAAATAATTCCTTTCAAAAAGAAAAGGAAAACTGAAGTCTCCATTTCATCTACAAAGGCTTTCAACAGGCTCTCCAGTATCCTCTTACACCCTTTCTTGCTTCCTGAAAATAGGATCTCCTTAGAAGGAATCCAGAAAATTCTATTATGGAAGTTTCCAAGTCTTGGTATACATTAGAAATGGAGGCACTTCAGGACTACCAAGAAGATTGAAGTGTATTTTATAGTACTTACCCACTCAATTAAACAAACCATTAAACAGATCCACTTAGATTAGAAAAACACTAACCTGGAATACATTTTCTCATGTCTGGCCCCAGCTGCATGCCATCAGGGCAAACGCAAGTGTATTTTGGAGAATGAACATTGATCTGTGGTGCTGGAAGGCACAAGTATTCACAGCCACCATTTATCTGCCCATTCTGTTCACACCAGTTAATACCTGGAAAAGGAGAAAAACAGTATATGGTGTTTACAGAAATACGTAATGCAACTACCTTCATTTCTACAGCGAATAAAAAAGTGAAACATTAAGTGCGTCACCATAAGTTACACAATGAACTACATTAGGAGATATAAATAGGTAACAGAAAACACAGAAAAGGAAGTTTTATTTTGGGGTGGGGAAGGGACAGTCTGCTGCTCTTTCCAAGATCTGGAAATGGAGCAATGCAACAAGAAATTTATTGCAAACAAACTAGATGTCTACATCTGCCACTCTTAAGCATTCTGTCGGAAGCGCCCCATACAATCTTTCCCTTGATTTAACAAAAATTCCAATTGAGGGGTCGACAACAACAACAACCACCACCACCACCCTGGGTGTTTTGAGCTACAACAGTATTCAAGTTGAAATAACAAGAGTACTGAAGGGCAAACCACAGTATTATTTGCTTAAAAATGGAGGTCCACAGTGGACTAAATTGACCCTCGGCATGTTCTTGAGCTCATTTGAAAGCGTGACATCCTTAAAACTATTAACCTTTGGGTTGGCGGAGATGATGGTAGAGAACAATATCCTGAGGAACATCAAGGTTCTCAATGACTGTTAGAATATCACCTCCTGTGAGTCTGTTGGCACTGAAAATGGCTTCATGATCAATATCAGTCCAAAATATCTTGTCCTAAAAAAGCAAGACAACAATGTTTGTAAAAAAATGCAGTTATCAATGAACACATCTTGGAGATGCTCGCCTTCTCTGGGCAGCTTTTCCCTTCTGTTATTAGACTTCTAAACAGACCTCTCAAGTTTCAAACCTATTTTTGTAGGCCTTCTTTGCAGCCATAACTTTGAACAGAGTGAGGAATATAAAAATCAATGATCTTCGTATGTTATGATCTGCAATACTGTATACTGAGGAGTTTCCCCCTGCTCCCCCACATGATAATGATAACTCAAAATTGAAGTTGTCAAACAGATGACAGCCCCTTACACATTGCAAATCCATTTGAACAGAAGACCATTTTCAGTAGTTTTTTTATAACCTCTCAGATTTCACTACAAAATGTAGACTGCATAATCTGTGGCTCATTTGTATACAAGTGAAATTTTGGATTTTAAAACTTAAGCCTTTACGTCCAAAAATTCCAGATCCAAAAATTACAAAACAGAATGAAATCAGATCAGTAGTAGTGCGGCTTTTGTGTCAAAACACATCTATTCAGCCCATAAACCCCATATCTTTCTAGTTGATGTAGCATGATGTTCACCATGTTACTCAGCTGAGACAACAGGGTCGAAAAGTTGAACAAATAGAATAGCTCAGTAGGGAACAGCAAGAGAGTCAACCAGCAGGGGCTAGCGTCATAAAATCAAGTAGGGAAGAGGACCAGGACAAGGCCACACTAGTTTAGATTTTATAATAAATAAAAACATGTTTTTAAAAAAATGCAATTTCATTTTCTCTACTGCAGTGAATTTAAATTTATATTGACTGATTAGTCCAGAAACTATAAGTTGCCATCACACTATTCTATCCCTTTTTGTTAGTTACTCTCCCAAACACCTTTCCTACAGCCCACAATGTGAACTGCAATTCAGATCCTCAAGATATGGAAGTTCAAAGGACACGCCCAGTTCTGCACATCAGCTACTCACCTCAAACAATGCGACAGAGAAGGGATGAGTCAGTTTCTCTGGAGAGATGATCAAAGTTTTCCTGTTGTCTCCAGCAACACCAATACTAGACAAAGTATGCAACTTGGAGTCCACCCAGTAGAGCCGCTGATTCACCAAGTCTGAAAGAAGCAGAGCACAAATCATGACCAGTCCAAATAAGGTAATATTTTCACACATCTCCAATTACTGATTAGTGCAAGAATCACAGCAAGTATGGCAAGCTTCAAGTGCAGAAACACACAGTACTTGAGATTTGGCAAAGAAAAAAAAGAAAGAAAAGATCTGATCTGCCACTACAGTTCCCATATCTCCCAAACGGTTGTTAGATTGATAGCACATTGGAAGATGGAAAAAAAAATACGATCAATCATCGACACTCTCAAGGTCTGTACTCACCCAGGGTGATTCCATTTGGCCATTCAATTCCTGCAGTGACCAGTTGCATACGGTCCACTCCATTCAAACCTCCTTTTTCAATCTTAGCAGGGGAGCCCCAATCACTCCAATATAGGAAGCTGGTGGGAGGAGAGGAAAGTCAGTAAGTAAACCATCTTGAAAAGATGCGTTGATATAGAAAGAAGTGACAGATCAATTTAACTCAGTTCTCAAGATAGAAAGTGATCCAATTTCTAGCATGTCTGTAGTGGAAAGTAATACACAGAATTAACTAGCTAGCCTCAAATCCATAAAAGAGTTACTGCATCAAACTGTAGTCCAACCAAACCGAAGGCTTCCATCTTCAGTTTATTTAGATGCCTCTAATCTCACTCAGCTTCTCTAGTGGTGTTAAAATGTTCTTACCCATGAACTGGATCCACTGCAATAGCCCTGGGCTTTGAAAGTTGTTCTTTGATTAGGACCTTCCTCTTTGTTCCAGCTGTGTTAGCTACAGAGATGGTGCTGGTTACAAAGTCTGTCCAGTATATGTTCTGATGAATCCAGTCCACAGCCAAGCCATCTGGTGCCTGGATTTCAGTCTCAATAACAGTGGAATGATGGGAAGAGTTCTCAGCTTTATCCATGTGGGCACTGTGAAGGCAGGAAAACAAAAGCATATTAAATTACTGGAGATTAGGGATTAAATTGAAATTTTGGTAGCTGTGCTGTTTAAGCAAGGAGACAAATTCATTATAGCATTCATATACAAGCCTGAGTCAAGGACTTCATAGAATCCCTACATTGTGGAAGCAGGCCATACAGCTCATCAGGTCCACACCGACTCTCTGAAGAGCGGCCCACCCCAGTATCCCTGCATTTCCCATGGCTAACCCACCTAGCCTGCACACCCCTGGACACTATGGGCAATCCAGCATGGCCAATCCACCTAACCTACACAACTTTGGATCATGGGAGGAAGCCTGAGCACCTGCAGGAAACCCACACAGATACAGGGAGAACATGCATACTCCACAGACAAATGCCAGGTGAAACTGAACCCAGGGTCCCTGGTGTTGAGGTAGCAGTGCTAACCACTGAGCCATCGCAACGCCCATATTCCATTGCACAAGTGGAAGAAAAGGGTCTCCAGAACATTAATGTAACACGACAAGGAGTACAGATAATTGTTCAGGGTTAAAGTATCTTCCTTCCCCCAACCCCCTTCCCATCCCAGGCTTCCGCAGCAACTCACCTGAAAATTTTTTTCTGAGACAGGTCAGCCCAGTAGATCTTGTTTGCAGCCACCTCCATGTCCAGTGCCACTACGTTCTTCAGCCTGGGGATCAATTGTGTATATTCACTCCGATCAAGGGTAAGCTTTCTGACCTCGTGCCGATTGGTGAAAAACAAGTAGGCAACTGTACCTAAGGAACCAAAAACAAACAAGGAGCAACAAAGTGAATTTAAAAAGTTCAGACTCTATTAGTTAACTAACCATTTTGTAAGTTAATCCAAGTTTAGAAAAATTAATAGGATTCCAGGTCATGCATTTACAGGTTATTGACCAGAGTTACACATACACATTTACAGGCAGTAATGACTGACCCTGCAGCTTTAACTTGTTGCCAGTCTACATAAGTGTATGTTCTAACATGTTTTTGCATTACATGGGATGAACTCTGCCAGTTTTGACCTTGAATGCTGGTAGGGAGAAAACAAAATCGCTAAATGTTTTAGTGCCTGGTTGAGAGGGGGGAGTAGAGTCAAGGAGAGCAGGGCAAACGGCTCATGTGAAGCCGATAACCAGCCAATGGCTGCTGACAAACCAGGGCACTCAGAAGGTATTTGATTGACCTTGATTTCATCCAGATGAGCAAGTGTTTGATCCAAGAGTGCTGGAACTTAAAGTCCATGGAGATTCTAAAAAGTAGTTCTTACCAATAGCTTTGCATTGCCTGGTCACTGGGTCCATATGATAGTCTTTCTTACACTCACACTTAAATCCTCCTTCCAGGTTGATACAGTTTTGGCTGCATGTGTCTGGATTCTCACATTCATTGATATCTGAAAGCCAGAAGAGATCAGAGGGGGAAAAAATAAAAAAACAATCAATCCTACACCAAAAGCTCTTCAGTACAGCACAACCTAGTGACAACAGATATTGGAATAAGAAGAAGTAGTTTATTCATACCTTCACACTTTGCATTATCAATTAATCTGAAGCCAGGACGACAGAGACACTTGTAGCCAATCTTCAGATCTTTGCAGATGTGAGAGCAGCCACCATTTTCATTCAGACATTCATTTTCACCTATAAACAGAACACCACAAATGGAATCAAAGCCATTAGACCGGATTTAATTCACTGACCATCATCTGATTACAATATAGTAATTGAATCTTCATCTGATCCACATACTCCACAATTGCCTCCAGCCTTATTTCAGTTATGCTACCTCCTCTCCACTCAAATAGAAAAAAAAAATTCAACTCACTCCAAAATTCTCTTCAGCTCATTCACCCTATACCTAGCTTCTCTAGGTCTTCAGTGAATGAATACTTCAGTCATAACTCAGACCCCATGTCAAGTACCTACAAGAAGTTTCACTTTCTCCAATCCAAAATCCTCGGAAAGCCACAGATTTTACCTGCACTTGTGATCTGAACACTTCACTCGATAATTTAGAGGAACAAAAACTCTACTTATAAAAGAGATTACCCAACAGGAGCTTAAACCACAAGACAAAAGGTATTTGACATACCACACTCCTTCAAGGGCTCATCTGACCAGTCTCTGCAGTCCCGCTGATTGTCACAAACTTTGTCCATCATTATACATTCACCACTTGTGCACTTGAACTTGTGTGGACTCTCACACTTGGTCACTGAGTAGAGACGGAAAAAAAGGCTTGTTAGTGACCAGACTGGTCATGTTTCCCCAAACATTCATTCATTCATCAGCAGGCAAAAAATATTTGTAAGTGTGCTAACAAAGTGCCAAAAATTATCTCCTTCTGTTTAGGCCAGAGGACAGCCCTGCTGCTTTTAGCACTTAAAAGATTTTGGCTCCTTCTCCAGCCGGTGTTACTTCAGCTCACGGGAACAGAAAGGAGCGCTAGGGACATAAGCAGTCCCAACATCAGACGGGGGGGGGGGGGGGAAAGAACAACAACAACCAACAAACAACAACAACCAACGTGCTTCTATTCTTAAGAAGAAAGAACCAAACTGTCCTCTGGCTTACCAGTCACAAATGTTGACACTGTATTACAGTTACCAGACAAGTGGTTTTGCACTCAAGATAGTGGGACGCTTGGTAAAGTAGGTCAGCTACCACAAAAGTGACCCAGTTTTGTAGACAGCAAAACATAAAAATAAGGGAGGAAAGGCAAGACATACACGAAAATAGATCTAGTATGGATTCAACATTTTCCACAAAACAACTGCAAAATCATGACACTAGCTATGGACACCTAGCTTAAAAGTGATGAAAAAAAAAAAAAAGAATTGTACTGGAGGGAGAGGCACAAATGCCCAGATAAAATTAAAGTTAACTAATGTAGTTGATGTTGCACTTTCCTACAAATTTTTTTTTTGGGGGTTAAGTAGAGAATTTTTTCAGCTCATTTTAACAGTAGCTAGGCCTACAAAGAATCCGGAGGTCCCAGTCAATACTTCAGTCAAGAACTTAATAGGCAAGTATTACAAAACAGTTTAAAAAAAAAAAAAAGAGAAGATGAACTCACCATTTACACAGCCAACTTCGTCGCTCTGATCATGGCAGTTGAATTCCTTATTACACTGGAGGCTTCCATGAATACAGGACCCATCATTGCACTGAAATTCGTCTGGCCGACAAGTTGTCACAGCTAAAAAATATTTAAAAAGCCTCAAGTTTCTTATCTACATCCAAAAACAAAACTCCATTTTTAAATCAATCATTCAGAAGTACCTAAAAGTGTGACAGGTAAAATTTAACCAAAAAAAACAAACAAACAAACAAACTCAGCAGTCCTGATCACTACAGTCCTCAGACGAGCTGCACATCGTGGACAAGCAGAGAACTGTTTGAATACGAAGATCCGTGCGGGAAATTTATTTTCAGATACACTGGTGTTGAAAGTTAGCCCCGAGGGACAGAATAGTTGCACTTACCACAGCCTGCTTCATCAGATTGATCACGACAGTCTACACTGCCATCACAGCGCCATTTCATGTGGATGCACTCTCCACTGCCACAACGGAATTCCAGGGCAGAGCAGGGATTAGGCAGTGCAAAGGTAGAGGACCGTCCACAGTTCTGTGGCCACTCATCCGATTCATCAGGGCAATCTGGATCGTCATCGCAGGCCCACAGCTTTGGGATACAAAGCTTGCTCTTGACACACTGGAACAAGTGAGGTCCACAGGTCCGCTCTGGACATGCCTCCTCGTCACTGCCATCAGCACAGTCCCTGTCTTCATCACAGACAAACTTCGAAGAGATGCAATTCCCATCATGGCATTGGAACTCATGGTCTTTGCAGACATGTGCAGCTAATGGGTTTAAAAAAAAAAAAAAAAATAGACAGACAGTCAAGAGACTGTTTATGTTCAAGAACATTAGAAAAGCCTCCTGCAAATTTGAGTGAGCATAGGAGAGTCAGATTTACTTACGGCAGTTCTCTTCATCCGAGCCATTTTCACAGTCCTTTTGGGAGTCGCAGCGCCAGGATGTGGGGATACACTTGTTAACACGGCCGCCACAACTGAACTCAAGCGCGCTGCAGGTCTTATTCTCTGAAAGATTAAAGGTTAAAGATTCTGAATCTGAAAAAAAAAGTGTACAAAAATCCTTAAAACAGCCAGATTATATAAAAATATTTTAATCTGAAAAGAATCTGAAGCGTACATTCACCCTCATCATTCCCTTTGTGAGCAAGAGCGCTCAAACAGTAAAGAGTAGATCCCACTTCCGGTGAACTGCGCACAAAAAAAAATTTACACTTACTACACGTCTCCAGGGACTCATCTGAACCATCATCACATTCAGACTGCCCATCACACAGCCAATGTACACGAATACATTTGCCATCACCGCACTGGAAGTGATCCTTATCACAAAGTCCAGTCACTGGAAGAAGAAAGAAAAATAGTCACCCTAAAGTGGTGCACTGAAAAGAGAAAAAAAGAGAAAACAAATTAAGTTAGAACAATGGCAATTCCTGTTGGAATCTCATCTTGAGATGTCAAGAATCTGAAAGTTGTGCAATGTTTTGTACTAAAACAAGTTTGAAAATAAACATCAGAAAAACCAGGGGTTTTCACTTTTCGCACGTCAATAAGACATTTGTATATAACCATTTAAAACAATGGCATTTGGTGGAGGTGAAATCCAATATATTTTCCCCAGGTGAGACCAAAAAATATCTTGGCTCGCAAATGGATCCGTAGGTTGGAGTGAAAATGGTAGAATGGCAAGAAAAGGTGAGACATTGGACACAAAATTTGAAGAGTTCACGTGAACATTGGCCATACAGATCAGGTTCACCATGGAGGAAAGTACTCAGTGCAACAGCAGCCAGTCAGCATCAACCCTACCTCAACAAGTTTTACAGCATGATGTCGCAGCTGCAGTTGCAGGCCAGTTGTCATGTGGCCTTTAAAGTTTAAAGATTGCACTAGAACAACCCTTTCTGAATAAAAGTATCAAACCCATTCATAAAAAAGAAAACAGCCCATTCAGAAAACTTCTCTCTACTTCATCTCTTACAAGATGTGTTTAAACGATTTGGATTAGTGTCACTTTAAACCAAGTTATCTTTTTCTAGATCTAGCTTCTCAAAAAAAGTCACTGAAACCCGCTTTTGGTTGGACAGCTTGACGTAACTTCAGGACTAAAGAAAATCACATGGAGGAAATTCAAGCTAACTTCCCATCAAGTAGAAAGACAGCATTTATTGAAGAATCCCCAGCCTGGCCTCTACCACATTCCACATTTCTCCCTGCAGGATGTTTTGCTCAGGCAAAAATTCCAGCTTAGTTATTTGTTTCCAGAATAGAAACTTTTACTTGCACTGACTCACCAGGAGAGTACTCAGCTGCGGTGCACACATCACCCATTTGCTGCTGAAAGTGGGCTGACAGGCTCTCAAGCAGGGATTGGCTTGCAGATCACAGCACACTTTAAAAATGACAAACGTCATGACCCCACCCACCACCACTCATTAGGAAGTGAGTACAGCAATTAAAATAGAACATTCAAACAAGTTAGTGCTCAGCAATATTCGCGGCGTACAAACATTTCGCCGGCCAGCTCACAGGGTATAAATATAGGTATATTGGTTAGGTTGAACCAGAGGTGAGGTGAGGTGAGGTGGGAAGAAAGAAAACACTGAAAACAAAGCACTTCTCTTCAGGGACATAGCAAGCAAGAACAAAAATCAGTGCATAACCTGATGCTTTGGCAAAACAGTGTGTCTGGCATGCTTCACCCATTAATGGTGAATTTACATAGCCAGTCAGTCATTCTGCTATCAATCTGACGTCTGGTTTGTCCCCATTGACCAACACCGTCAAGTTAGTACTAATACGGGAAGCTTGTATTAGTTGGTTGCATATTTGGAGCATAAAACAAAAGATCTTAACCAAATGACAAAGGAGTAAAAACCTTAAAAGTTATAAAAGACTAAAGGGGACAAAAGTCAAAAGTCCTACACTTCTTGCTGAAGTGTAAATTAGACAAATTTCACATCACTTTTCACTTCATCCTCCTAGCATAAAACCGGTCAGCATCTTTAGTAAATATGCTAAAAGACACTATCCAACAGATTTCTCAACCAACTTCTGAATCAGAATTCAAGTAAGCACAACCACTGGCTCGTCATCAGTAGTTCCTATATTGAATCAGATAAGCAATTAAATGCAGGAAAGTACCAGATCAAAAAAAAGTCAACTTGAATCTAAAAATTTCCCCCTCTTTTTAGAACTGGTTGATTGTTTCAGTTCAGAGTGCTGCCCCCACATTCTAGACCAATTCCATTCCTTGAGTCACTGCCACCCACAGTGCTGACACTTTAGAACTGGATATCCTCCGAAACAGCATTATTGGTTGTTATTGCAAGCACAGATGTAATTATACACCACAGCAGCAAACCCCCCCACAAAACATACTAACTAGACAGAATAATAGCAAACCTCCCAGCATCCACAAGATAATCATTCCCTGTCACTTGAATTAGTGACCAGAGAACCTTGGTAGATATGTCTAAGGGCACAGATGCTAGTCACCCAAGTTATCAGTAAAAATCCTGTAATATTTGAGATAGCAAAGATCAGGTATGAACTTGAAAGTCTCCTGGTTGTCCTATAATGCTTAGCTGCTCACTCCATTAAACAAACAGCCTGAGAATGGAAGAAAAACATGCATGGCATATTGTTAAAATAGGAAATCTGACAAGTTATTTAAAAAGTAAGGAATAGGACAAAGTAGATAGAAACAGATCAGTTCTGGTGAAAAAAGGAACATAGATGATTAAAAATGCAGAAAAAAACCCAATAGATAATCAGAAAGAAGAGTGATGGGGAGGGGGCATAATAAAGAGTTTGATAGGAAATGAGAATGAACTATTGGTGCACCACAAAGCAGTATTGGTTGAGCTGAATAGCCTGTGTCTATTGACAGTCAGTTCTATACACTACTATCTCAGCCAGGACAAGCTGTGCAAGGCAACAAGTAAAAGACATTTAAAATAAAATTTATCATAAAATCTATTATACTGCATTTTTAGAAGACAAGCTACATGATTAAAAAGCACAAAAGATAATTGGAGAATATACCATTAAAGTTATGCTGGTAAGCAAGACATCTCACCCCATTACACAGGTTTTGCATCTTGGCAAGTTACACGATTTTAGAGAGGAGACGGTTTAGTTACTGCTGCAAACTGCAGTTTTACATGCTTCACGTGTAAAAATAATACATAAGTTACCATGAAAAATTTGGCTATGGTGTGCCTCTGCCCAACACAATGTATACAATTAATTCCCGCTCCCTTCCCCCACCCCACACACCACAGTTTTCTCAGAATCAATAACATGTCTAATAGCATGGAACTCCAAACAAACTTTACGTCTGTCAGCAGAGCAACAGTTAACCTTACTTGGGTACCTATAAACAGGGGAAAATTAAGTAACAAATGAACCAACTTGAGATGAAAGATAGCAGTTGGATCAGAAGATAACAGCATTAATGGTTGATGTGGCATCCTGCATTTCAATTCTGATCTCCCTACTATGGGGAAAAAATGCTGTTAAACCTGAAAGGGTGCAGAAAAAGATTTACAAGGATATTGCTGTGAGTTTAATTGTTTGAGCTATAGGGAGAGGCTGAATAGGCTGGGGCTATGTTCCCTGGAGCATCAGAAGTTATAGGGGTTTATAAAATTATGAAGGTGAATGGATAGGTTGGATAGCCAACAACTTTTCCAGGGTAAGGAGAGTCCAAAACTAGAGGGCATAGGTTTAAGTGAGGGGGGGGGGGGGGGGGGGTGGAAGCAAGATTTAAAAGGGACGCAAGGGATAACTTTTTCAGATGATGGTGCATATATGGAATGAACTGCCAGAGGTGGCAAAGGCAGCTGGTACAATTACAACATTTGAAAGGCATGTGGATGGGTCCATGAATAGGAAGGGTTGAGGGGGATATGGGCCAAATGGGACTAGATTACTTTAGGATATCTGGTTGTCAAGAACAAGTTGGACCCAAGGGTCTGTTTCCGTGCTGTACATCTCTGATTTTATCTTGAGACATTCAAAACACGTAATATGAACACTCAAAGAACCAACTGCCTAGCATTATCTCAATCTCACCCAAATTAGAATTTAGCAGTATCTCTTTCACTACTTATTTTCATAGGACTTTTGGCACCCTCCTTTTCCACAAAAGAGAACTGCACTACGAAAAGTGGCTCCACTAAAAGATAAGTGGGTGCCACAACAAACGTTCATTTCTACCAAATTAGAAGATGCTTAGCTCGCAAAAAGGTAGAAGGCTCCCATCTTGAAATAAGCGCAGCAATGCTGGATTCATTTCAAGAAAGGTATAACCACACACCCTACAGGACTGTCATACTGCTGCACAAGCTTGGACCTTTGCTCAGCCTGATTTTTGAATGCATCTGTTCTTGTCACATGTACCTAGGTACAGTGAAAAGTTTTGATTTATGTGCAGTACAGGCAGAACATACCATACAAAGTGCATTAGGGCAAAGAACAGGGCAGAGAATACAACATTATGGCTGGAAAAAAGGTGCATAAAAAGCAAGATCAACATTAGATTTGAAATTCAAGGGGCCCATTCAGAAACCTAGTAACAGCAGGGAAGAAGCTGTTCGTATATGTTTAAGTTTTTGCATCTTCTACCCAACGGAAGAGGTCAGAAGAGATTATAACTGGGGTGGGAGGGGGTCTTTGATTATGTTGGCTGCTTTCTTGAGGCATGTTTAAATGCACATTATATAACTATTAAAAAAAAAAATCACTCAAATATTTTAAAAGCTTTATGCAGGAGGAATTACTATAGCCCTAGAGTTGAGTACTTGAGTTTTTGAACTGGGTATACTGAGCTTCATTTTTCCTGTTCAATGGTTTAAAAAAAAATGGGTATCTGGGTTGGCATTGGAGCATCATTCATCTCAAGTTCCGTTTCCTTTCTTCATACAAACTGTGAAGAGACACTACTCTTCTTTAGAGTTGCTTTACAAGTTTTGATACTTTAAGCAGTTGAATGGGCACAGTGAGCTTCATTTTTCCTGTTGCCTACTTGCAAATACTCATAGAAAATGACTGAGTGCAATAAGGAATAGTGTTAATCAACAGCAGTTTAGTCAACAGAAGATAGCCTGATCGAACCATGCCAGGTCAGCCAATCAGAAGCCACTTATTTGCACAAGTCATCAACATGTTTTAAAAGGAGTGGTCACGATTACATTGCATATAGTTGAGGAAGTACATGACTCCCAGCAAATAGTTCACAGGTTAAGAGCCAAAAGAAATTATTAATCATATGGTTAACTTATACCACTTAGTCCCACCCTGAGTAAATGCTTTGTGTTCATCACTCCACCCATTCTAATAAAAAATATAGTTTCGGATGATTAACTAAACTATAGCATTCATAGCTGTACTTCCCAATTGAACAAATTTTACGAGCACTATTAGATAGCAAGTCAAGATGGTGCTGCTTGCAAAGCAACTCCAAACAAGAGATATGCCTTTTCACTCCTTGTATGAAGAAAGGAAACAGAACTCAAGATGAGCGATACTCCAATCACCACCCGAATAGCCATTCTTTAAACTAGTCAACGGGAACTTCAAGAGGTTTGAATCGAAAGCAATAACCAGTCAATTCTGGAAACTGAATGTGAAAAATTCACAGCTTGTATTAGCTAAACACTAGGTGGGATCTTTAACCAGACAGGAGGTAACAAGAAAAATCCTTTGATCCATATACCACTTTTTAATGTAGTTCAAAAGGAGCTAGCAATCTTTTTAACTGCAAGGGCCGTTGTAAGCAGTGGCCAAATTTTAGGGCCAAAATCGCACAGAAGTACAGACAATCAGAAGCTTTTATTAACAGGATTCTTATATTTAAAAGACAAAAAAAAAATCGATTCAAGGGGCTCACTTTAGCCACCCACCCCTCCCCAAGACATTTGGATGCGGAATAAAAAGGCGTACTGGTTTTCCAACTAGAATACCAGCGCAGGGGGTAAAACCCGTAGGGGTTGTGTGTGGGGACTGGGGGGGGCGGCAAACAGAGGTCAAGGGAGAGGAGAAGACTGCAAATCCCAGAATGCCCCGCCCGAAAGCGGTGTTCCGATTGGTGAGGGGGCGTGGCCCTAGAATCTCCTGTTCGAAAGAGAACCAATCAACAGCCAGCACCGGCGCCGCACGAGCCACGGCTGGGCGGGGAAAACCTAACGGTCATCGGGAGGACACCGCAGCTGGGACCCCCATCGAGGACAGACGGACCTGAGAGAATAATAAGGAAAATAAAACCTAACCCAGTTTCCTCTCCTCCTCACCCTTTCCCCTCGCCATCCCTCCCCACCAAAAACACCTCAACTCCTCATCCTGTTAACAGTCCCCCATTCATTTACAGGATTCGGCTTGTACCTGTTACCTCACTTTCTAATATACACACTGACCCACTCACCAGCAGCGGCGGCATCATCCAACAAGCAGGCTGTAAGAAGTGGCAACAAGAGCAAAACGATCGCTTTCTCCATGATCGTGGTAGTGGTTAGATACGTGCCGGTTCCTCACTCAGCGAATATGAAGCAACCCTCCCGCCTATCCGGGTATTTGAACACGGGGCGCGAGCCGGCGGTGGTGTGATTCTTAGGCCACACCCCCCTTTAAAGGGCCAGGCCCCGCCTTCCCACCCTCCAGCATCCAAGACCCCGAGCAGCTCCCGGCGTCGCGAAGTAACACTTAGTATATGTTGTGGGGGAGAAAGGAAAACTGCTGATGCTAAACCTTGGGAGTACGTGGACTTTTCAACGAGACCCTTTAAAGCTAATAAATACTGAAATCATTTACTTCAAAGAGATAATACTCACTCCTCTGCAACAATTATGTAGTCCCTGCACCATACTAACTTTCTGCCCTTCTCCGCGACAGTTTTTTTATACAATCCCTACAGTGTGGAAACAGGCCCTTCGGCTCAACAAGTCCACACCGAACCTCAATGCATCCTACTCAGACTCGTCCCCCTATAACCCACCTCATTTACACATCCCTGATCACTATGGGTAATTTAGCATGGACAATTCACCTAGCCTGCACATCCTTGGACTGTGGGAGGAAACCGGAGCACCCGGATTTATAGATATTTTCGTGATCAGCGAGATTGTTGTACACCTCCGGAGCAGGGGGGACTTGAACCCGGGTCACCTGGTTTAGGTGTAGAGACAGTTTGACCTCTGTGCCACCAAGAGCCCTCCTATAACTTTTTAGAATGCGTTCTTACGGCCAATGCAATGTTTGCTCTTGAGATGCGCTCAGCAATTCACAACCGAGAGCGGGGAAAAAACCCGTAAAACAAACAGGAACAAAAACACAAGTTGCTAGAAGCTCAGCATCTGTGAAGAAAAAAATCAGAGTTAACGTATCGGTTCCGGTGACCCTTCCTCGGAACCCTCCTGTTTTGAGGGTCACCGGACCCAAAACGTTAACTCTGATTTTTTCTTCACAGATGCTGCCAGACCTGCTGAGCTTCGAGCAACTTCTGTTTTTGTTCCTGATTTACAGCATCTGTAGTTCTTTCAGTTTTTTATTTAGCAAAACAAGCAGTATTACTTGGAAATTAATGCATTGGTTGTACTGGACCTTCATTTCGAAGCATGCAAGATTAAACTGACCATTGCGTGCCATTCGCAAGTTTTTTTTGTTTTGGGTTCCTTCTGGGTAAGGAATGGAAGGTTATGCTGATGGCATGGGGGGAGGTGCGGAATGAGTTCAGATGAAGAGGTAGTATGGGGATACTTTTCGAGAGCTTAAATGCCCAGCACTAAATAAAAACCCGTTGGGATGAATGGCTCATTTATGCGCCACACTTTCAATGTAATTAATCAATCATTCTGTGGCTGTGTGTGGGATGGGCATGGCACTAAACATCTGATATATTTGCAGAATTACAGACACTTAAAAAGAAGATCCTAATATGTAGAAATAATTTTGTAACCAATGAGTTAACACACTGTTCTGGATTTTGTAACACGCACATTTTGGAAATTACAATGTCAATCTAATTCTCCTTCACTTTCACAATATTTCAGATCAGATTAGTTCTTAAATTCCATTGTCTCTGTTCCAGTGCATCACAATATTGTAAATTATTCACACTACACTGATCCCATACTCAATGGGAGAGTGAGATGACAAATAAATGGGAAGGAAGTAAATGGAGGATTTTTCGATAATTGTTTAGAGTTGGATAGAAAAGTCAGAGTGCTTAATCCTGGAACTGAAGCAATCTCACCCACCAAAATAGGAAGTAAACATAGCCTTAACACCTCCCAATTGAAATAATATGTAGCACTTCAACACGTCCCAAAAATATCTCAAAATAGATCATATTAAATTACTTTGAAATGAAATGACTATTCCTCTATTTGCATATGCAGCAACCAGTTTGTACTACACCTAGATCTGGCAAAAAGCTAGAAATGGAATTTTAGTTAGGATCTTGCATGGTGCTTGGAATAGTTTCATGTGATAATTAATGCTTAATGGAAGAGGCAAACTAATTCTCACTTTAATGTTTCAGGCAAAGAACTGTACTTTGGACAATGCAATGGTTCTGTGCTGGAATTCCACTGAGGACTGGTACAGGGTTTCACCTTACAAACCAAAATGTGAGAGTCACTGGGTCATGCTCAGTCAAAAGGGCCTTTTTATAGGATGCAAAACCCAGTTACTCCTTAATCTCTGGATTCTTCTAGATTACAAAATTAACACAAATTGTTTCTTTTAAATACCCTATGAGTTGAAAGTGCCAGACTGTGAGCAGAATCTTACCAGGCTCTGAGCAACATGGATTGGGGCGAGAACGAGCGGGATGGCTGTCTTGATGTTGAGATCATCTTGCTGCAATTTCCCGGCTTTGCTCAAGCAGTATGGCAAGATTCTCACCAGGGAGCGGCAAATTCGCAATTGATAGTTTTGCTTGGTGCATGATGTGTTAATAGTCCAACTTACCACAGTTACCAAATTCATCACGCAACTAGCCATCAGAAAAATATGGAAACTAGGGGAGGTTGTTGTCAGGTTCAAGTTGCTATTTGCTCCAGAAGAACTCCATGTTGGACACCAAGCACTAATATCTTGCGAATACTGCTTTGGCACTGGCCACATGCACCCCAGATCTGACTTGAACCCACCTCTTTGAACCCTATTTCAGATTCACATACAGGACACTTCTGCACTTCACTGCCCCATCTCAGACTGTTGTGGCAACCATCATTGCAGTGCTGCGGCAAGAATAGTTTACACTCAGGCATGTGCATCCAACTCATGGACTGGACCAGGATGTATCTCTGGGCTCTTTGCTCGATTTTCTAGTGCTAACTCTCTCTGAAATCACCTTGATATTTACAGTGTCCCTGCCTTGCTTTGCCTTGCCTTGCCTTGCCTTGTTGCTTCCCCAAGCCAGAGATAATTGGCTTATATTACTATGGTCTCGTTTAACAAAGACACAAAACCAAGAGCCTTGCCATACTTGTCAACAGGCCTCAGTCCATTCAAAGGGATCAGCCTTCACTCAGGAGCTCCTGCAACAGTAAATTAACACACCCTCCAATAACCATCCAGTCCCTGCTCAGGGCAGTCAGAATCAGGATCCTCTTGCTAATACGGGATGAGGAGCCAAATAAGAAATAGCAAACCACCCGTCTTGACTCTTCCTGCCCTGTTGTGTGTTGTTTTGCGCCTGGAATGAGAGACAGGCAGGTATTAAGGAAGATGAAAGTGGATGGCACAATGATTACATTGGTGCAGTAGGGAGGTTTGTTGAGCGATTGTGCAGGCAGCACAGAGCTGTACAATGTTAGTGGTGTCATGGTTTGGAGGGGGAAGGATGAGTGGGAAGATGTTGCATGCATTAATGAGAGTCCTACAGCATGAACCTTGATAGGAGGTGGGCACATTAGCAGTGATAGAGTGAGTGTGAAATATTGGAGAGAAATGGTGGCACTTATGCTGGTGAAGTGGCAAAGGTCATTGATCTTCTTCCTACAGAACTGGGCATTCCTCCAGATGGTTGAGATTATTTCAGCATGGGTGGCAACCTTGGACCAGCTTGGCATGATCTGGTGTCATGGCCTTCACTGCTGGTCTTGGGGGAGAAAGGAGGTCCTGCCTGTGCACCACCTAGTCCATCAGGATATCCATGACCATGCCTGAAAAGCAAAGTGAGAACTGAATTGATTTGAATTAGGTTTATTGTCACATAAATTTACAAGTCGCCACTTTTGGCACCATCTTAGGTACGAAGATACCTAGGAAGATAATCTTAGTTACAAAGCAGAAAAATAAGGAAAACAAAAGTTAAAAAGTTAAACATTACAGTCCTTCTTATTAAAAAGTAGAAAAACAAATACAGTTAACAGGTTTTCTCCCTGTTTGCTATGTCTGGGACATCTGACAGTGTTTGTCTGGGCTCATAACAGCTTTTTAATTGTGGTTGCTGGTGCCAGGCAATTCTAAGATCTCCAGTGAATGGTGATTGCCCCAGTAAGGCAGTACAGGGGAGGAATAGGACATGATTCTTGTTGTGAGGGTTCAAATGGCAATTAAAGCCGCTAGTTCGGTAAGATATGGCGAGAGAACCTGTCTGGCCTTGCGGCAATAATCTCCACCAAACTCGAACAGACTAGTACTCAGCCAAAAAAATGGTAAGATTCTGCTCCGTATTTCTTAATTTTCATTAATATTGAATCCAATGTTTCGTCAATGACTGAGTGTGATTGGTGGCATTGGGAGTGATAAATTCATTCCAACAATTAATTTGCCACTGCCAAATGGACTATAACAACACAGTTCTACAATATTTCTAAAACTATTCGCCCAGTTACCCGTGACATCTAGTCAGTGGAAGGCCTCAAGGGCATTATTAAACTGTAATCCATCTCTGGGCTTCAGCCTATGTTAAGTTACATGAGTGATTCACTCCCTGACTGCCCCATCTTCCAATCTTGGCCAAACCACTGTGTGCTGAACCTGAGCACTATCCTCTTGGTGTCAGCTGTGGCTCAGTGGATAGCCCTCTGTCTCTAAGTCAGAAGGTTGTGGACCTCAGCCTAAAAATCAAAGCGGACACATCAATGCAGTTCTGATGGAGTCCTGCACAACTGGAGGTGCTGCTTTTTAGATGAAAAGTTGCAAACCGAGGCTCCAGCTACTTTCTCAAGTGAACACAAAAGATTCCAAGGCACTATTTCAAGGAGAACAGCGGAATTATCTCAAGGTGTCTCTATCAATATTCATCTCTCAACTAACATCATGAAAACAAATTGTCTGGTCATTATCACATTGCTGACTATGGTAACTTGCTGTGTGAAAATTGGCTACAACCCTTCCTATAATACAGCAGTGATTTCATTTCAAAATTATTTGCATTGTCTGTAAAGTGCTTTAAGCTAGTCAGTGGTCATGAAGGACACTATGTAAATGTAAGTCTCTTTCCTTCCACTGATGAATCCCTGAATAGTAAAGCTTGATTGTGTTTGGTTAGATAAAATAGGAGAGGATCTCCACAATAAAGATGCCTTAGAAATAAACAC